ATGCGATATATGTGATAAAGATTCACTCGAAGTGATTATGCGCTTGTGCATAGAAGGACTCACACAGGTGAGAAACCGTTCAAATGCGATATATGCGGGAAGAATTTCACTCAGAAAGGCAGTTTGCTTGTACATAGAAGGACTCACAAGGTTTAGCTGTTTTTAGTGCAACAAGAATTTCTCTTAATCACAGCATTTGAATACAAATATGACGATTCATCTAAATGATTGGGCCACATTCAACTGCACTGTTATGCGATGAAGTTTTCCTGTGGAAATCCACTTTGAAATCACATTTGAAGAATCATATGATGAACTGACAAATGTATTTTAAACCGAAACGCGCATTGGCTATTTCTGGTGGTTTGTATTTTCTGTAAGATAAATTCGTTTTTCCTTCTTGTATTGTTATCATTGTATTGTTTTATTTACGTTTTAGTATCGTTTCTTTACGATTTCTTTATTATTTCTCCTAGTGAATAAAGTACCTCGTTCCGTGTCCACTTGCATCTTAATAGCTTTTTCATTATTAATGAATAAATGACAGGCAGGTGACTTACATGCCATGCGTGATGAACTTGCAATTAAGTGTTACTGTTATTAAATTACTGATGAAATGATACTGCCTCATGTGAATTCCTCACTTGATTATAGCACAAATAACATCGAAGTAAACTTTTGGCAACCTCCAATGCAAATTTATATAAAGCATATATTTTTATTACATAATTTATATATATTTGAAATTTTTATATATATTGGAAGAAACAAATTTATGTGTAATGCAATAATATGGAAAATGTAACATTTGGAATTGATAAAATAGTTTTTATTTTTGATCATCTTTCCAAAGATTCCAATTAGGGGACGATATCCTGTCGCATGATACGAGGTCAAGTGCTCCGCTTTGATTAAATGCTTGTAACGGTATCTGTCGGATATTTTCACCTGCATCGCAAATTATTCGTGCAAGACTGAGTTTTTTGATTTCATCAATTTGAAAACTTGTCAGAATTTCAGGATTTTCATAATAAAATCTATAAAGAACGAAATTATTCAACAAAAAATTAATTGTCAATAAATTAGATAAAATATTCAAAAAAACGAACATTATATATATGTTATTTTTGATTAGTTGAAATTTTAATCTTGCCATGAAATTAGTGAAATAATAAAATTTGGAACTTTACTCTCTTACCTATCACCGTTTCGTAATCTTCGAAATTGCTCTGAAATGATACAAGCTAGAGTAGGTCCAATAAAAGCACCTTCTAGTGGATCTTCCAATAAGCCACCAACATACAAATCAATATTTTCTTCAAATGATAAATGTATTTAAGTAAAAAATTTCAAATAAAAAATTTTTTAAATAAAATTCTACTACAGAATGAATAAAAGATTACATATGTATTATATCGTGTTTATGATTGAAATGTTATTCGTATTGGTTGTATGTTTATTAAAAAGCGGTAAACATTGTTATAATAATCTTTTGTTTTAAAACTTTTATGAATGCTTAATTTTTGAAACTTTTG